ATGAATTAGGCTGCCAAATTTTCATTTTGGTTTGAGTCGTCAAGATCAACCCAACTGAAAGTTGAAAATATTAGGAGATATTACGGTTATGGTAACCACTGACGCGTGCACCTTTTGTTGTTCCATAAAGTAATATATATACATATATATGATAAGCAAATGAAACACTCTATTCAAGATAAGAAAAAAGGTGCGAGCCCTGGTGTTGTCTATTTGATATACAGACCATTTTTCAGGAGCCGGTGTACTCATTGAGAGAGAACCAGTAGTCTGTTTGAGCCCATCACTATGAACCAACTTCTAAAGATATCAGTGATGAAGCTTCAAGTTACGTCAGACGGGTACAACATGTACGACTGAAGTCACGACCGAATATTTTTCATAAAGTTCGAAAAGCAGACCTGGATCAAGTTCCAAACATGCTATCAAACTGTTGAAGGAGTCATATAGTAAGCTCTCATTGTACACACTTTATTTTTTAAATAAATGGATGACAGATACATTTTGTTGGTTTTTTCTAACACTGCTGTTTATTGGTGTTTTAGGAGATCGCAAACGTTATATCGAAACACGCTGTGGGCACTCAAACTGCCAGATTTTGTTAATGTAACAGAAGACAGTAACAAAGGGCTCTCTCAGATTACTCCGAACATCACATTTTTTTCCAGCGTTATGGTTGTTTATGCTGGCGCCCTCGTAACTGTCATCAAAACTTCTGTCAGAGGGAATCTTCCAGTTCAATAGGTGTACATTTCCTATCCGTGATAAACATCGCACCCAGTCACGTGAAAATGGGCATGATGTTTCTTCTTTTCTAAAGGAGCAATTCGCTCAACTTAGCACCAATATATATATATAAATATATATATATATATACATCAGACGTTTGTTGCCATGAGATACTGTCTATTTACTTGTCAGGAATCCTAATCGAGGGTGCCCTAGCTCGAGGTTGTGACTGATGTTTCATTAAGGGAGAATAACTGAGGAGGCTAGAGAAATAGCCCTTTTTCAGACAAGTTAACGTAGTATTCTACAACTGCTTCATCTGCACTCTGCCAACCATAATCCAACTGCAAGGAGATACTTCCGATCTAAATCCCAGCTATAATTCATTATACAGGTCTGTGGGGACTGGTATTACATAAAACCGTAGTTTGATCAAAATTCTTTTTTGTATTGATTACCGGTTGAGTCACAGTTTCAGGCATGCCGCTTGTGTCTTAGCGCTTCAAATTGACAGTCAAATACATTGGGTGACAATTCAAGCAGCTGGGTGAATAGGACCTCGAACAAGTAGAATGAGTAGGGGAATCAATGCTCCATTGCGACAGGAAACGGCATCAGATTAATCAGTTTTTGCCTAACGGAAATTGTCTGTTCGTGTCTGGATCCTATAAGCATTTGACACCTTCTGTTCCAGCGAAAGAAACCATCATGAATTCATCGGAAAAGTAATATTTGTTGTAATAGGCAACAAACAAGATTTTATTTTCTAGATTTCCATCGCATTTGGTGTTTTGATTTCAAATCACTTACCGTTGTGCGTGGAAGGGAACAGGTTAGCTGAATTATGAAAATCAATTCCTTCTGTTGATTTGAAGTCAACAGTAAACTCTGGATCTATGTAATCTAGAAATAACTACGCTTTAGTCTAGGTTGAAATATAATTGTATTCACATGACGTTTCGCGAGTTCACGCGATATTTTCCTCAATCAAATGAGCTGATTTTACTTGCATCTTAAAAATGCGAGCAACATGGAAAAGTCATGTGTTCCGGATGAAACCTTAGGAAAACAACACGAATGGTAACCTTCAAATGAATCCGTTTGGGGGTGAAAAATATTTTCAGTGCGGCAACAGCTCAACCTAATAGGGGTTGAAGTGACTGATTTTTGTGAGTTTCATGGTGCTTTGTGGTTTTTACGCTGGGTTTTACTCATGGTTACCATTCCAAATCCCAAATTTTATTCTCTTTTCCGCCCTGGAAAATAAAAGCGATAAGGAAGTCTTTCTTCTTAACTGGTTGCAGCGTCATCCTCCATATGATGGCGACTAGGCGCTTCTGAATAAACTTTTATCTTTAATGCTTGTCTTACCTGTACAAACTCAGAAGTCCATGTCTCCAAGCTACTAACCATTCTTACAAAACTTGACAGTTCGATAAGTTTCCTTTATATCAAAGTGGAAAAAACTACATGAGGGGAGTATAATGTCCAATTTGCGAACAGTTACAAGACATAGCTTTTCCTGTGACCATCCTTTATGCAATGTATCTCTATGCCAGTAACTGCAATAAAGTTATTCTTTTCTGTTCCTTTATTCAACCTTTTTGCTATATGTTATTATATTTCCAAACATGTCTGAATCCAGACTATGTCGAATAAATCGTGGTACAATAATCTTTATGAAAAAGAAAAACGTTCCGTGATTTGCATGTAGTCGGAATACTGCCAGGTTGCCCAGGCCAAGGCAGGTGAATTTTCTTGAGGAATCCACAACCGGAGCTTATGGCTTGCCAAAGCCTGACCCGCAAGGCAGCGGGGATGAGCACTGTTGAGTAGGTGCAACAGTTTGATTTTTGGATTGACAAATATGTCATCCCAGGCAGCCTTTGTATGGCCACAGACCCCTTCCTGAAAGTTGACTGTATATTTGTATATTCAATAAATAGAAAAAGGAAGCAAAAACATTTTTTCATATCTAGACTGGAGATGATGTCATTTTGCTGACCGCCTCTGAGTTTTTCCAGAAGTAGGAGACACATGGCCACACCTTTCGTTCTGTTTCTGCTTGTATAAAAACTGTACACTTCACGAACACTTTAAAGTAAGCTCCTCGGGTTTTGTCACTGAGATTCTAATGTCGGTGTCCTTGTGCAGTCTGTTGGTAAGTATAGCCAATCATTTCCGACGAAAGCACATTTGTGAACAGTAGCTGAACCACCAGAAACAGTAAAATCTTGACTGGTGCATTTGAACTCCAAATTTTCTCGACAAACTCGAATAAATCCTTCACGCTGTGTCTGGTCACTGAACTAATTTCTAATTTTCCCTAAATCCGTTCACCTGGTCCTAAATACACGTTTTACATGTGTGTCTTAGGTGGTCCACAGAGATTCAATGATTGTGAGACAAAAGGAGGCCATTATTCAGAACGTGTGTTTGAGATATGCCTTCCTTATTCCAACCGCTTGAATTCCCCAATGACTTGCAATTCGCCTGATACCTTTTGTCTTTTTGAGCGGAATACAAACAAACTTGTGTACGGCATCGAGAATAGCCATCAGTTTTCCATCATAATCAGTTCATTCCGATATTAATCAACATAAACGTTTGTTCGATTTCGACAATACTGTTAGCTTCTTGTTGTTGGGCTCCCAAAATACTTCCATGCATTGTTTAGTTATGAATTATCTTCGACTCTCTTTTTGTATATTGCTGACAGCAGTGGACTTGGGATGCTTTGCTAAGTGAGCAAAAACGGATCAAAACGTCCGCATTTGGCCCATTATTCTCCACACAAATATTGATGAACTCCATCGGTTATTAAGCTTCAGCAAATCCGATCCTAAACTTCAAACATCTGAGGTCTTCTGTCACCATGGGTTGTTCGTTGCTCCTTCTTTTGTCAAATATCTCCAGCGTTACTCTGAATAAAAATCCTTAATTATCAAAAGAGAGCAAATGATGGATAAAGGAAGTGTTTTTATCGATTATACCCTGTCCACGAGCTCATAGTTTTATTGTGTGGGTAACGACCAAGCAGTTGAGTTTCGGTTACTTGTAGATAAAGGCACCGGATAACAGATAAATATTCTACTGACAGTCCTTCAGGTTTCGCACTCATACACTATCTTCATTTCAGTCCGTCCGTGAATTGGTAATTCGAAGGGTATTGAACAGGAGTTTTCTTTGACTCGAATAACATATATGTAACAGTTCAGTTCAGTTTTTCACAACCATTAATCATACACTTTTGTTCGCCGGTTTTGGTTGCTGCCTTTTGATTGCCTATTTGGATAAAGGATTCGAAGATTGAGATGTTGGGATCACAGTCAAGGAAAACATAGAGAGTTCACAGTCACTGAGGTTGCAAGAACAATTAGTAAATGCATGAGCACAGATCCTCTTGTGAAAACCACAGGGGAATTAGTTTCATCAAAATTGTCTGGTATTTAAATTTTGGGCCGATGGTGTGAACTAAGTTCACATCTATTCACATCTCATGTTTGTTCAGTCCATCAGTTCATTTGATTCAAAGGCATCGATGATCTACAGTTAAACTCTCGCTATCTTCAATCGGAAGCCTCTCACGGAATCAGATGTTTCATGCAGGTATTGCAAAAAACGTGCCCATTTCATCCTGTCACGTGTTCACTGCATCACGTGCTTCATTTAGAGCTACACTTACAGAGGTGAGGGTTTATGAATAGCAGTAGAGATTTTTGATGTGATGAAAGTGAAAAAGACGGACATTTATTTTGGTAAGACACAAATCTGTTTCTTGATCTGGAAAACCTAGATCAGGAGTCATCAGTCTTCATTTTCGCTCGGTCTAAGTGAATATGAATGAGGAACTATGCAACTGAAAAGTATTGGCTTCAAAATCAGGTATGAGTACAATGAGGATACAGCGAGTTGGTGAATCAGATTGACAGATTTGGTAGAACTATTTGGCGTCGCAGATATTGAGTCCTCATCACAACACGACAAAACAAAACACGTTTAATCAGTGACATGATATAATAGCATCTGATTGTTACAGAGTGTGGTATGAATCCCCAACGAGTGAACAGTGATTACATAGAGCGGTGAGCGACTATAAAGTTCATCAAATGTGTGATTTTAACACGAGCATCGTAACCTTTGCAAACACCACCGTGCCAAATGATGACTTCCATTTTCTGCTCCCAGGGCCATGGTCGTATAAGTTGAACCGATAAAGTGCATCACATTTGGCTACAAGTAGAGAGACAGTACGCATAATACATTTTCATGCTTCAATATCTGTCTAAAATCCGGTAATGCACTAACTAGTTTAACACATTCACAAATTGCTTTGGTGGTGTGAGACAGGAAACCACTATCTTGTTTGCCCTGCTGAGATGGGTTATCTATCCACCCGATTGTCAGCACTTAGTCGATATTGGAACACAGTAGGAACGCATTTGTTTAGCTTTGGGTAATAATTGTATGCCATGCCGCTGCCCGTCCTATAAACAAGATAAATAATGGGTTGAAAGCAGTAGATATTCCAAGGAATTTTCAGCCTAAAATTCGTTTTTATGGAAAGAACTATGAAACTGAAAGCCAATCCAACTTTATCAAACAGAAAGAGCTGATCCTTTTGTCTAATCTTAGTAGCCATCTGGTGGATATCACTTATTGCTAGCGAAAATATACTGTGACAGTCAGTCTGCACGTTCTCTCGTGTGTGTGTGTCTAAACGCCAATATAGGTTGATTGAGTAACAAAATGTGAATGCAAAATAACTGCTGTTGTTGTCTCTTATGGTCCAGTTGGTTGAAAACATTAGGCATACAAACACGGGGAGCTGGGTGAAGTTCCTATTCCCCTGAGATTTCTGTTCGTTTCACATTTGGAGCGCAACAGGAAATATTATATGTAAATGCAAAAAAACAAATGAATCTAACGTGGTCATTATTGATCTCAGGTTTCACAAAACTAATTGATATTGATCACAAACTAAATTAAACAGGATGAGTAAAAGACCAACTTTGAAATAAGATTACCAAATTTAGCATAAGAACCTTTCGTTTACTGATTTTTAAGTGAACCTGTATTTCCTTTTGAGATTTTAAGATTTCAGATATTGAACAAGATAGAAAATGAAGTGAATTGAGAAATTTCTTTTAGTTATTCTTTTTCACATCAAATCTGCTTGAAAAGTCTGCTTGAAAAGCGAATATTTCAGTTACCAATTTAACTTTTATTTATTACGCCGCGTATTGTCTGCTCGCCGATCCTTCGATATTTTACCAACATCCTATCTCGCACATTAGTTTCTGAGAAAATTCCTGGTTGTACTTTGATTTCACAGCAATCGTCAGCAAGTCAAAAAAATTAAATTACGTAAATCTAAAAACCCGTAAACTTCTATTGGTAAACAACGTGCACATATCTGAACAAAATTGTGCATATTTCATCGCTTTGCAAAACCCGGCATAGTAAACCATGAAGAAATACAACTGGGATAACCAGCTTGTACTCATTTGCGAATTTGTTGTTGACCCTGTTGAGGTGTTCGAATTCTGTCTCAGCTGCCACGTGCTGCTCAAACATAATTCAATCGAATTCGCTTTGATCGGAATATGGCCTACTTGAATTGCAAAAGAAACCCTGGTTTATGAATCCGATGTCATCCAAGGTGTGCCTTTGGGTGTACGTGCTGATATCAATTTAGGAGCAAATGGCCCTTTTTGTCGTTGTATTGTTGCCGCTCAATTTCATCTGCTGAACGCTTGGCCAATGTGTCCAATGTGGATGAAACATTTCACAATGAACGAGGACAATGAACCATGGAGGTACTTCCGGTCGGACAATTATTGCAATCGATATGGCAATCAACTGGTTTTGCCAATTTGGCGCAATTCATGAACTTTGAAAAGTTCGACTGTTTTCGTGTGTCCCCAAATGTGAACTATACCGTTTTAAAATCGATTATTTGCGTCATTGCTAGTAGGTTTATATTGATAATTATTCTTCGGCATCTCATCCAGTTAATACAACTTGTATGAACCAAACATTTCTACTGCGCATTAGTTAGTCTTTTCATTTTATATACTGTTGACAAGAAATAGTATACACATACCAAAATAGTATATTATGTTGTATTATATTTGACAATCGTAAGCATTTGGGATACCCTGATTTCCAGAAAATTCCACTGATAAAAACAGGAACATACGAAGTTTATTTATCTATGTACCGCATGTGTTTACCGTCAGTCGTTTTAGTCAGAGATAAGAACTTTGGCTTCCAAACCGAAGTCTCACGGTTCCATTTCGGGAGGGTCAAAATATACATCTTTTTATATATTTAGAACCTATTATCTTGTATATTAGTGTTTTGATGACCACCCTGTAATTACATTAGGAAACTCTTCGTTTACTGAAACTCTGAAGAATTGAAAATGTTTTTTTACAGGGGTACGTGGCCGTTTCATATGCTAATGCGAGACTAAACTAGCATTTTATCGAATCGCTAATCAGTAACACTGACATACCGCATAAGCTATTTTCGATCAGAACAAAACACATTTTACCTTTGCTTTAGGTGATTCATGGTGGCCTTGACTACTAGCTGTTATGGCTTTCTGAACCTCACAGCAAACAGAACCGAATTCGAAAGGGGATTGTTTCGTTGCGGTCCAAGATAATTAAATTATTTTTCTTCAAGAAAATCAATTCATTTCGTCTACTGATCAAAACCCAGACTTATGCACAGTACGCTTGTACTAAACAGAATTTCAACAGCTTTCTTTTCGCGATTGACAGGCCTTGCCAGAAGAAAGTTCAATTCTCGGAACTGACTTGGGAACAAAAAGAGCGTGTTTTGGCCAAACTATTCGCTCGGATGAATGCTGGTCAAACGAGGAGGCAACAATCACTGAATGAGTCCACCCCCGTCAACTGCTTGTGTCCAGAGGGGGATAATCATGACAAACAAGCGGACGGTTCCCACTTATCGAAGAACAGCGATGAAAACGAAATTGCTTCCAGTCTAACTACACCGGAAAATGTGATCAGAGTTGTCCCCAGAAGTGCACCAGACTGTAAAAAGACCATATTGACTAGAACGAAGACCTCCAACAGCCTACCTGAACCGTTCAATGGGGATAACGGAATTGGTCAAAACTTGGTAGTGAAAAATGTGGAATCAAAATGAGAAACTAAACCGAGGTAATTTGTTAATTGTTGCTGTTCAACTGTCTCAGACTGATGTATCATAGACCATACGAAAGACGGACTCGTTTTTCAAGTTGCTTTTAGTGATCATGCGCAAATATTTACGGTTTAATTTTTGATAATGATCGAAATAGACGTTCAAGACTGACAGGACGAGAGATTCATATGCTTAGGTTTATTGGGAGCTTTTGATCCTTCTAATGAAGCAAAAACAAATCCAAACT